TGCTCTAAACCTGGGTCATAACAGGGTCTTGACCCTTCCTTGAACCCAGCTTTCAGGGCCTTCTGAGAGTCTTCTTCTGCAGTGGGTGCAAGTCCACCCCTGAAGGCCCACGGCCCCTCGGTGGGAGAGTAGTGATGGTGGGGCAGAGGGGCCCCCCCGATGCTGGTCTGTCGGGCCCATCTGAGGGGAGCTCCTCTCCATAGGCCCACGAAGGTGGAACGAACCCGGAAACGGTCCGAAGGGTTCCTACTGGACAGGAAGGTGGAGAAGAAGAAAGGTAAGGGGCTTTTCAGATTGTCCTGTCCCTAGAGAGGGTGCTCAGGCAGGTCATTAGTCAGCCTGGAGTGTGTGTGGGGCAGGGAGCTGAGCTGGGCGTGGTCGGTGTACAGACTTCCCCCAGAGGGCCTTGAGCTGCGGCCCCTGAGCTGGCCGGCCACCTGTGGCCTGGGCCTCCACGGCTCTGCTCAGGTCTGGGCGGTGCTTTCTCTCCTGGCCCCAGAACCTTCAGTGGAAGAAAAGCTTCAGAAGCTGCACAGCGAGATCAAGTTTGCTCTGAAGGTTGACAACCCGGTAAGACCCTCCTTGGGCCATGGGGGTCATAGCTCAGCCATTTCCCCTGAGCCAAGTGGTCCCCTCTGCCACCTCATGTCTAGGGCTCCCTTAGAATTCTCAGGGTGCTGAGGCAAACCAAGCTTCCACTGGTGGGTGGGGCAGGGATCCTTGTTCCTACGGCATGCCGGCAGATGATCCTGAGGTGCAGTGTTCCACTTCCCCAGCTGGTGGCACCATGGCAGATCTCAGGAGCTCCCCACTCCCCACCCCCCACCCCCAGTCAACTATCTGGGTCCTTCCCACCTGTCCCTAGAATTCTCCGTCAGTCGGGGTAGGGGAGGCAGACCATACTGTTGAGATCCAGCCCTCCCCGGCTGGAAGAGCCTGGATGATCTCCACATGGTTGGGGCTTCTTGGATCCCCTTGGCCAGACGCTGTCCCTCCTCCCTCCCCACCTCTCTCTGCAGGATGTGAAGAGGTGTCTGAACGCACTAGAGGAGCTGGGGACCCTTCAGGTGACCTCTCAGATCCTGCAGAAGAACACGGATGTGGTGGCCACATTGAAGAAGGTAGGACAGGAACACAGAGGCGGCGGTGACTGGTGGCAGGCGGGGCACAGCCAGTAGCAGCGTCTGCTTGGGAGCCCAGGGTCAGCTGGGGAGGCAGGTGGCTGGCGGGTAGGAATGCCGGTCCCATTCGTGCCCAGATTCGCCGTTACAAAGCCAACAAGGACGTGATGGAGAAAGCGGCAGAAGTCTACACTCGGCTCAAGTCGCGGGTCCTGGGACCAAAGATTGAGGCAATCCAGAAAGCAAACAAGGCCGGGATGGAGAAGGAGAAGGCTGAGGCAGAGAAGGCCGAGGAGAAACTGGCTGGGGAGGAGGCCCCCAAAGAGCAGGCAGAGGACGAGCCAAGCACTGGTGAGGAGTGGGCAGGTGGCCCCTGAGCCTTGGTGTCCTCAGCTGAAGGAGGAGGTACTGGGCAGAGCATCCTTGCAGTAGGCAGCAGCCCTGTTTTTTTCAGACACAGTTGGCTGAGGTTTGGGGGACAAAGGCCCTGGGCTGCACCTGCCAGGCCACAGGGGGCTGAGAGGAGACAAAAGTCATTCCTGTGGGGATTGCTGGGTCCAGATGGCCCTGGTCACAGATTCCAGGGCAGCCTTCAGAGCTGAGATGGACAGAGCTCTGCCACAGGCCTCGGTAGGCCAGGAACAGCCGTGAGGCTCGCGTTTCCCTTATGTCTGTCCCAGGCCGAAGTGAGCTTTTCCTGGGGTTGCCCACATGCCCTCGTTTTCTGGCTCCTCACTGCTTCAGGCCAGGGCCGGGCCAGCTGCCGAGTGGAATCGCACACAGCCAGCCCACGGGTGGGAGCTCGCATGACCCCTAAAAGTCATGCTGTGTGTGGGCGGGTGTGGAGTTGGAGGTGAATATGGACCACAAGGCCAAGGTGCCCAGCTTGGCCCCCAGTCCAGGACTGTTGAGGAGGACCCTGTCCCAAAACTGGCTCACTCAACAGGAAGAGTTAAGGTGTCCCCAGCTCAAGCCCAGCAGTGTCCTATGTCCTCTGTCCGATCCAGATCTCTCAGCCCCAGTGAACGGTGAGGCCACGTCCCAAAAGGGGGAGAATGTGGAGGACAAGGAGCAGGAGGATGGGCAGGACTCAGAAGAGGGGCCAAGATGTGGCTCCTCTGAAGACCTGCACAATGAGTAAGTGTCACTAGGGCCACGGGGTGTGACTTCCTGAGAGCAGTGAGCTGCTCCTGATGGACCAACCACTCTGGGAAGGGCCTGAGGGACATCACCCCCACACACTGGGCGTCCCACTCCCATCTTCACAGCTGATCCCCAGGGTCCTCCTGGTTGGCACCTCCTTCTGGTGGCCACCATCAAGCCAGCTCCAGGGCTTTGAGCTTACTGGGCCCGGCTTCCTGGGAAGGTGGTTTCTTGCTGGCCCCTGAGAGTGGCCCAGCAGGCACCGTGCACAAGCACCCGGCCCTCTGACAGCAGCCAGTGCTGAGAAACACAGGCTTGTGTCTGGCTGGCGAGGCTCATTCATCAAATGGTTGCTTTGTGCTGGACCTGGTTGATGTGGGCTCTGTCCTCAAGACATTTGCAGTCCCTTTAGTGGGAGAAGTGACAGAGGAAGGCAGCCCACGAGACTCATGTGCCAGAAATGATGGCACTGCTCTTCCTGGGTTCCCTGCCTCTGCACCAATCACCCCAGAGGTAGAGAAGGGGCCTTGGGGGTGCATTCTGGGGTCAGGGAGTGTCCTCATGCCCCGCCCTTGCTGTGTTCCCAGCAGCAGCCTGCGGGAGGGCCCCGACCTGGACAGGCCTGGGAATGATCGGCAGGAGTGTGAGAGGGTGCGGATGGACTCGGAGTCCTTGGATGAGGAGAGCTGAGCCCCCCCGGTTGTGCTCAGGCACAATGTAGATGTCTATAGACCTGTCCCCATTCCCTCCCCAGCCTCCTAGGAGAGCAGAGAACTTTTGGGGAAACGCTGTGCTGTTTGTTTGTATTTGTTCCCTTGGGTTTTTTTTCTGCCTAATTTCTGTGATTTCTGACCGACATGAAATGACTATAAAGGGTTTTTTAATGAAAAAAGAAGTCAGTTTTATTGGTTTGGTTTTTTAGTGTTACTGGTACAGCAGGGGGCGGAGCTGGGGAGCTGTGCACAGTCATCAAAGGGCCTGTTTGGGGACAAGGGTTGAGCCATCAGGGTACCATAAGCAGCAAATGTGAATTTTGTTCTCCCGGTGCTCCCAGCCCAACCCCACAGGGCCGGTGGTGAAGGAGAATGGGGTGGGGGCAAGTCCTTTCCAGAAGGAAGGAAGGAGAAATAAACATCTCTAACCTGTGCAGCTCAAATGGAGGCTGTGATTTGGCTCTTCCTGCGCTTGGCAACCCAGTGCCCAGGTAGAGCGAGCGGGAACAGAGACACCGCAGTGGGCAGGGGTCCCGTGAGTCCCTGCTGTCTCGTAAGGTTGGGCCAGGAGGGTGGCTACCGTGCCTTGCCTGAAAGCTGCTGCCTCCCTCCCCACCCAGCCCCTAGGTGGCTCCGTGGCCCCTAGGCAAGACCTGGAGTCCCTGGTGCTAGCTCAGGGCACTCAGTGGTGCGGGTTGTCCAGTGTACTTGACGTTCAGAGGGCGTGCGCATTGGTGGCAGCTCTCCACTCTCTTCCCAGCTGCATTGCCGGCTCACTGTGTGACCTTGGGCAAGTGGCCCTCCCACTCTGGGCTTTTCTTTCCTCATCTGTGTAAGGGGCTTGCCCCCAGCCTCACAGGACTATTGTGTGGATTCAAACAAGGGACATGGCCATAGCTTATAGGGAGGCTCCTGACACTCGTCATTGCTCATTCAACAGTGGCCTCTAGTGTTTGTCCCCATCCCCCAATGGCCGAGTTTCCTCCATCCCAGCTAAGAATTCAGCCTTGGAATGGTGAGAAGGGACTTCCTGAGCCTCGGCCGCATGTTTGGTTTGGATGGACTTGAGCTCAGTTCCGTGCCTGCTTTCTGCAAATGGCTGTATGTCTAGTGTCACACCCTCTGATGGCTTGTTCCCCAGCACAGCCCCTCACTTGAGGCTGCACCTGAGTTGCCAGCATCCCCAGCTCAGCTGAGCTGATGCACACCCTGGCTTTCAAAGCTCCTGACACCCAGGTGACCCATTTGTGGCATGCTGGCCCCTCTGTCATGCATCTCCCAGGAGCTTGGAGCTCCAGGTCATTTGCTGAGAAGAGGGTGCTTCAGGGAGACCGAAGGGTTGGGGTTTGTCCACAGTGAAATGAGTGGGTGGTGTCTGGAGATAGGCTGGACAGAGCCAGCTGTGATAAGCTTCCCGTGTCCCAATGTGCTGGGGCAGCAGGAGAGGCTGGGGTGCCAGGCATCGGGGGACGTGTACCCGCTGCCCACTGATTTCTCATGTTACCAGCCGCCTATTCACCTCTGTGGCCCCAGCTTGTTTGTCTGCAGTCACCCCTTGGGGCTGCCCTAGGGATCCAGGGAGAGGGTGGCTGGGACTGGAGCAACTTCCACGGCTGCCCTCCCAGGCTCTGGTCTCCAAGTGTGCATCACCACGGACAAAGCCACCTGGAGCCCAGGGTGCAGCAGCACGGCCTGTTCAGCTGCTGGCTACCAGAGCAGATGGGGGCTGGAAGAGGCCCCTAGAGATAAAAGGGTTCCTTGTGGGGGATGAGTGGAGGACCTTCTAGGCTCAGGCACATTCCTGCTGCTCCTTCTGAATTAGGGTGCTGGGCAGCAGAGGGGCTAGCAGTGCTGGGGGAAGGGCAGGAGGCGCAGGCAGGCCCAGAGCTGGGTGCGTGGCAAGGCTGAGCTTAGAAAGTCGCATCCTCTGTAGCCATTGGATCTAGATCTTTGGGAAGCTGCAGCAGGACTTGGGGCCAGGGACAAGGGTCAGAGGAAGGCTCCTCGGGCAGGGCAGGGAGACCTACAGTTGCTGCCCGTCCGGGGGCAGGGCAAAGGGCCCCACCAGCCAGCCAAGTGGGGGGCTATGCTGCATGCTTTCCAGCAGCTGCTCCAGTGCCCACCACGCCTGGTTCACGCCTTGGCGGCTCTGGTCCAGCTGTTCGGCTGGAAGCTCCCCGATGCACCCAGCCGAGGAGACGATGCCATAGAGTTCGCAGAGGCTGTGCCGCGCCCGCCCAACCTGCCGCTGGAGCTCGGTGGGCAGGCCCTGCATGCTGGACACCAGGCTGCTGTAGGCCGTGTGGAGCTGCTGGATGAGGCCGCAGACCCTGGACAGTGCCTCAGAGTCCTGCACCTGTGGGAGGAAGGAGCAAGGTGAGCAGGGATGAAGGGCAGGGGGCTTGGGAAGGGAGGCTCAGCCTGCACCAAACGCACCTCCTGGGACCCAGTGTCCTCCACTCTGGTGCATGAGCCCCAGTCCAGACCCGGCTGCCCTTCTGGAGGCTGCTTGGCCTTTTCGATCTGGAAACAGAATAAGCAGAGAGATGGTAGATTCTTGGTAAGGACGTTTCACACTCTCCCAGGGACTAGGGGGGCGTTCAGACTCCTAGCTCTGGAGCCTTGTGCCTTGACCTTCTCCGTAGCATGGTGGAGGTACCACGAGTTTGATGTCAGTTGTGCCATGGTGGGCTTGTCGTCTCATGTAAAGAAGTGAAAATGCACACTCCTTATGGGTTGTTGGGAGACCAAATAACATCAGTGGCATTGTGTCACTCCCCAGCTCAAAACCCTCCCATGGCTCCCCAGTGTCTTTTGGATAAAATCTAACTTCTCACGATGGCCTAGGTGTTTTGGTCCCTGGGACATCTCTGGCCTCATCTCCCACCAACACCCCATTGCTGTGTCTGCTCCATCTACACTGCTCCATTCTGTCCCCTGACCATGCCCAACACACTCCTGCCTCAGGACCTGTGCATGTGCTGCTCACTCAGCCCACAGCGTACTTCCTCTGTCCCCTCACTTGGCACCATTTGGTCTCAGCTCCAGATTGCCCTCTAGGAGAGGACTTCCCTGCCCACCCATGTGGCAGCCCCCAGTCCCTCCCTGCCACTTCTCTGTTAATCTCCTCGTGGACACATCGCCATCTGAAATTATTTCAGGTGTGTGTTTATTTGCTGTTTATCTCATGTTTTGACATCTGCCAGGATGTTTTCCTCCTTGTTGGCTGCTGTGTCCCCAGCACTTAGCAGCCCCCCACCCCCACCCACACAGGGTCCAGTCTTCCTTGTCCTCTCAATAGCCAGTAGCGGAGGTGGCATGAGGAACAGATGTTGACCACAAATTGCCATTGCCCTCCTCCTGGCTCTCACCCCTGCCGTTGAGAGCCAGCTGCATCTGCAGACGTCTGTACCTGAGTGCCCACCGAGCATCTCACCTCACTCCATCCAAATCCAAGCTTGTAACATTCACCCTCAGCCCACATGGCAGCTCCCTAAGCATCCCCTGCTTTCCTCAGGTGGCAGATATCAGGGGCCACTTAGGGTCTTCTCTCTCTCACCTCTCATATCTCACCCACCTACAGACCCTGGCAGCTCTACTTTTGAAATACACCCCAAGCCCCGCCGCTTCCCACCCCCAGCACCACCCCCAGCCTCAGCACTGCCTGCGTGGACTTGTACAGAAGCCTCCTCACTGATCTCGGGCTCCAGCCCTTGACCCCTGTGTGGCCTGACCTCCCCATGGCAGTCACAGTGATCCTCTTAAATAAAACCTCTGTTGGATCAGCTCACTCCTCAGCCCACAGCCCTCCGTGGCTCCCATGTCCCTCAGGGTAAAAGCCCAAGTCCTCCCCACAGCCCAGAAGGCCCTGCATGACCTGCCCCATCCCCTCCTCCCCTCCCTGTCTCCCCCTCCTCTCTCTGCTGCAGCCACACGGGCCTCCTCGCTGTTCCTCCCACATGCCAGGCTCGGTCCTGCCCCAGGGCCTTTGCACGTGCTGTTCCCTCAGCTTGAAATGTTCTTTCCTGATCTGTATGGCCAGCTCCTCTTCATCCTTCAGGTCTCAGATTGAATGTCACCTCCCAAGAAAAGCCTCCCTGATTAACTCAGCAGAAATCATCCTCTGGCTGATTACAGACATCCTCTATTTCTTTTCTTTATAGTATTTACCTTGAGTTCATGCTGGACTGTGAATTCCATGAAGGTAGAGACTGTGTCTTTTGCA